TCTCTCTCTCTCTCTCTCTCTCTCTCTCTCTCACCCTTTTACTTACTCATACATCCAGAAGTGAACATTCCCCCAACTTCTCTTTCACTTTTGTTCTCGCTCTTTTCGTTGTTTCTTATAAATGCCTTCATCAACCGTTCCTACTGCCAAGAACTGCAAAGATTATATAAAGGTTCATCAGTATGGAACGGAATCTCTCTCGGCCCGCTCGTGCCGGATGCTCATGGGGCAAAACAAAGATGCGATGTGTTCTCCTTCGTTGCATATTATCAGACTGAATGATCTTTTACCTCTAGCGCGAGGTTATGTCCTTGTAAAATATAAATATAACATGGTCGTGATACAAAAAAAGAATCACTATTGTCATAATTATGTTGTGGTAATGATGCGGTGTCGATTGCTCGTGACGATTCTAAAGCGGAACTGTGTTTTTGTTGTTAGTGGGGATAAAAGGTCCCTTATATTCGGGTTAAGCCGGGGCGGGAGGTACACTTTCGTTTGCTGACTTTCTTGTGAACTTTTTATCTGCAATTTCATGCTAAGAAAGTCTCCCCCCAAAGAGTGTGTCTCGTGTGCGAGCGCGCGCCGCTGTATTAAAAGCAACTCTTTGTCGTGGCTAATCTGTGATAAATTAAAACAAAACAAAACAAAACGCTTAAGAATATTAACACTGTATGTGTGTATTATTGAACGTGTTCGTCGTGGGGGCTGTTTTTATCATTTCGATATTGTCAGAACATGTTCTGAGTGAAGCCACGTAATGGGAATCGATGAACTGTTTCAACAACAGCGAGGCGAGCAAGTGCCGTAAATCATATAGATCTCCTAGGAACGTGCATTTATTGATGGCTGTATTCACTGTCTTCCTTTCTCTAAGCTAATTTTCTTGATAAACGTACCTCTGTGTATTCATGAACGTGAAAGCGATTCCGCGGGCCGTCGGTAGCCCAGTGGTTAGGCTGCTAGACCCGTACTTGCGAGATGGCGGGTTTGGGTATTCTTCTAGCTCAGTCCGATGTTGTGTCCTCGGGAAAGACACTTCACTCAAATTTCTTATATTTTAGTTTCCTATTTGGCTGTTTCCTTTCGGAGATTGATGTTAAACTCGGAGGTCCTGCCTGTTCAGTAACTTGATAGCGTTGATAGGGGGTGTTTAGCCGATACCATTTCACATTGTGTGTGTGTGTGTGTGTGTGTGTGT